AGATAGAGCGGCGAGTGTTTGGGCAACTTGCCCAGTCTGAATCACAAAATCCTGTCAAGGATAAGTCCGCATCACGTCGTAAGAATATACCTTGCCCTGGGTGTGTCTTAAGATACCGCAAGACACGAATGACAGCCTCCCAGTGTGCAATACGCGGGCGCTGCATGAATTGGGAAAGAATATGCACTGGATAGCAAATGTCAGGTCGGGTGAGAGTGAGATAAATAAGTTTCCCAACTAGCCGGCGGTATTGCTCAGGATTTTCGTAAAATGGACTATCATCAAGCTGGAGCCCATGATTTTGAGTCATAGGAAAAGACACATGTTTGGCGCCCAAGAGACCTGTTTCGGTCAGAATATCCAGAACATATTTTCGCTGACATAAGAATATCCCAATTGGATTGCGTGCTATTTCAATACCAAGAAAGTATTTCATAGAGCCCAAATCTTTAACAGGAAAAGATCTACCCAAGTAAAGCTTAAAATCCAAAATGAACTATTGGTCATTCCCCGTGATCAATAAATCATCCACATAAATTAAAACACATAATATTTTTCCAGAAGCACGAAAAGTGAAGAGGGAATGATCCGCACCAGACTGGATAAAACCGTATGAACGAAGAGCTTGGGTGAGTTTAGAAAACCAACATCGGGGTGCTTGCCGAAGCCCATAGAGAGACTTTATCAAACGACAAACCTTCCCGGGAGTAGAGGCCGAATAACCAGGTGGAAAATGCATGTATACCTCCTCGCCTAAATCCCCATGCAAGAATGCATTGTCAACGTCCATCTGGTGTATCTCCCAGTCTCGGGTAGCCGCTACAGACAAAATAGTGCGAACTGTTACCATTTTAGCAACAGGGGCAAAGGTCTCGTGATAATCAATGCCTTGTACTTGGCGATTTCCGCATACCACAAGACTAGCTTTATATCGATCAATGGATCCATCGCTCTTGTACTTAATTTTGTAGACCCATTTGCAAAATATAGCTCGTTTGCCAGGAGGTAAATCTGCCACATGCCATGTGACATTGCGCTCGAGCGCATCTATTTCGCGTTGCATAGCCTCCCTCCAGTGAGGGGATAAAACGGCTTCTTTGTATGTCTGTGGCTCTTGATTTGCATTGATAGCAGCAAGAAAGGCTCGATGCTGCACAGAAAAATGATTATAATTTACAACATCAGATAAGGGATAGCTCATACCTGAGGCGACAATCGTAGTGGGAAGTTGACTGGGGGCGCTAGCTAGTTTCACAGTATTTATCTGAATTTGATAATCATTCTGCCATACTGGGGCTTCACGTGTTCTGTTACTCCGTCTCAAAACTGGTGAGGTGCGAGTGGTTTCCATCTCATCAGTCAACCGGGGTGACCGTGCCTCACTGGAATGAGAGCCTGTGGTGTCAACAACTGAGGTATGTGGTGGGGAAGTAGAAAGTACCCCCGTGGCTCCTGGAGGTATGGCACCCCCATTATCTGCATGCATATCCTTGTCATCTGCCAACCTTATCCGCAGGGACGGATCCAGGATTCTGAGTTAAGGGGGGCAAAATTTTTCGTTAGTGTAGGGGGTGAATTTTTTTTGTTAGTGTAGCGGGGTGAATTTTTTTTCCCTAGTATAGCGGGGCGAAATTTTTTCGCTACTGTAGGGCTATGCGGCTATTTTTATTCAAAAAATGACATTAATACATGCACATCCCGAACGACATTTAAATCTATTACATTCTAAGTTTAGACGATGACAAAGACATCAACCAATACATTTTCAATAACTTTTACATTGTTTAACCTCATGAATCGGTTATTGAAGTGTAATTTTTGTCAACCAAGGAGAGTGTTCGTGAGTCATGACTCATGAGAAGTTTTCTTAATATTACAATAGTAGTATACTAGTATGTATGAGATTGTTATTTTTAGAATAATATGCACCACATACACACACACATATATGGTGCATATTATATTTTAATATTTTTATTAATTCTATAATAATTTAGAGTTTATTATCCATGCAATAAATTATTTTTAGAAAGCAAGAAGTAAATGAATTATGTAATCTAATGTCTATAAATATTTATATTTTGGATTCATTTCACGTGATCTAAAAATGGTGTAATTAGTGTGTCTGGTATTTAATATTGTTTGATATATGTTTTACGAAATCCAGTACTTGTTATCTAATAAAGATAATTAAACATTACAAAACTAGGAATTCTTATATAATAAGTATCCTAAATCATAAATAACGAGTTACTCTATTGTTTATTTGTTTAAGTTATGTAAATTATTTTAGATGTTTCTTCTTTTAAATCTCCAATTAAGTATTACATTATGTAAGACTATATATATATTAATTTTGAAAATTAAAAGCTAAGGGAGGCGAATCTAATTAAATTATGAAAGTTTTATGAAAATATTACATATATGGTAAAAAAAAATTGAATGTCCAAGGGGGGCGGTCGCCCCCGCGCCCCCCTAAATCCATCCCTGCTTATCCATTCTTGGAGGGCTTCGTGCCTTTTAATGTATGTTAGACGTATCTTGCCCAGTTAAATGATCCACGGTGCATGGCGGATCACAAGAAAACGGGAATTGATTTTCGAAGAACCTAACATCTCGAGAAACAAAATGTCTCTAGTGTTCAAGAATAAGAATTGAATTGGCTGCAGGGTATCTAATGTGAATATAAAAGAAGCAAAAGCCAATCAACCTCATCTTATCAGTTTTTTTATAGTAATCTTATCAGTTTTAATTGGCTTCTTTTTAGTAATCTTTTTGGGAATAATTTGTTACTAAATTCTTTTTTTGATGCATTAGAAAATCAACCAATTTAATAACATAAAAAAGCTACGAACTATTGTGTGACATGAAATCACGAATCACTTTAAGAGCCCGTTTGGTAGCATCAAAATCGACTGTTTTGGCTGATTCTGCTGAAATTTATGAAGTTCTGGCTGAAGTGGCTGCATTGGCTGATTCTACTGATGATTTAAGAAAATTAAAAATTATTTTTAAAATATATTTTATTAATAAAATAAAGAAAAATATATACGTAAAAATAGCTAAAATGGTCATCCACAGTAACTTGAGCCAATACAGCCAATACAACCTTACTTTTTCTGCTTATTACACAATTCAGCGCGCGAAAGCAAAAATTACGTGTTTAGTGAAAAAGTTGGCTGATAAGCCTGATAAGCTGAAAAACATTATTGCCAAACGGCCTCTAAGAAGTATATGTAGTAAGGTACTGAAATAAAAAAATATTTACAGACATGCATATAAACATATTAGAATAGAGTTTACTGCAACACTACATAAAATCAAATAACTACACATGTTGCTTGCTTCGTAATTGTAAATTGTAATCAAAATTTACCTTTTTTCCGCAGCTCATTTATTTTTATAATGTATTACTTAGTGCTAATAATTAAACTTTAAATAGTATACTTATCAATTATCATATTATAATTATTATTACTATTATTATTTATGGATTAATTGTGTAAAGTGGGATGTCATTTCAATTTTGTAAAACACATGAACTTATAGTGGAAAACTGTATGTACGTTATTCTCTAAAATAAAAACAGCAACCTATATGAAAAACACAACCAAAGTAACTTAAATGTATTATAAGTAAAATTAATGGTATATTAAAATTTGCTTTAATTTGATTGGAAAATTGTTTTAATGTGCTTTAATTTGACTAGGGGTGGGCAAAAATACTGAACCGGCATGGTACTTAACCGAACCGATATGGTACCGGATCAAAAAACGGAGTTTGAAACGGATCTCAATTTTTTGTCCCGAACCGGTTCTAAATAATGCCATGACTGGTTCTCATATAATGAGAACCGGTACCGGACCGAACCGGACCGAAAGGGATTTAATTATTTAAATTTACATTTATACCATTACTTTGACTAGTGTCTTCACACTTTCACCGTCTTTGCTAGTTAATAGGAAGCCTGGAATCGAACTGATGTATGGTTTAATTATTTAAATTTGTACTACAATAATTTATTCTAGAGATTTATTAATATGTAATACTACCTTCGTCCAGAATTGATTCGCAAAATTAACTTTTCTTGATCAAATAGTTTCATTTTATTGACTTAACTAGAATGTCAATTTTTAATTATACTTCCTCCATTCTTTTTTAATGGCAACGGTCCACTCTTCACGCTTGCCAACGCACAAGTTTGACCATTAATATCTTTCATTTCGTATTAGTAAAAAAATTAAAAAATTTAGATTATGAAAATTTAAAGAGAGAGGAATTTAACAATATTTTTTTCAAATTTAATTTATAATGCATTAACAAATAAAATAGAGTCAAAGTAAAACATATGAATAGTGTAAAAAGTCTAACGTTGCATTTAAAAGAGAACGGATGTAGTATTTAATTTGAAGCTTGCAACTTTGAAGAGATTTCAATGTAGTTTCTGAATATGTAAATTTTAATTATTAAAAATTGAATTAATTATAAATAAAGAGAATTTAACTTTAACATTGGTTGACCAAAAAATTATTGACTTTGCATGTCAATTTGGGATGGAATGAGTATGAAAATTGATAAATTGTGTAGATTTTTGGAGGATGACTAAACACTTGAGAAAAGTGGCATTGTTTGATATTGATATGACATGATACCGTCCTATTTCAAAATGGAACTGTACCGAACGGTTTTAGATCTAAGACCGGATCGAACCAAACCGTTTGAATAATCACGGTATGGGTACGGGTTTGGCCAAATATTGGACCGGACCGGATCGCGCCCACCCCTAAATTTGACCGGGAAATTGTTTTCCCAACAAACAATCCCAAACATAGAGTTAGTTAATATGCTAGGAAATTGAACTTAATCTACGTTAGATTGTTGAAAGATCAAATCGGGTTAAAAGGGTTTTTTTTAATATAAACGAGCCACAATTGATATTAATATCGAGAAAGCATAAAAGATACTACGTAACATTTAAACTGTTGGGATATATTATCCCGGCCTATTACTGTTCAGGAGCCCAAGGCATCTCCCCAGCTTGGAGCCCGAATGACAAGGTCCATTTCAGCCTATTAGGCATGTTTCGGCCCCTTGGGCCCATTTTGGGCTTACTTGGCCCATTAGGGTAGACTTATTCCCTACTCCCTTTCCCCTATAAATATGGGGCTTTCCCACATGTTTAGGGATCTTTTTTTTTTTTCTGAGGGAGGAAAATACGTTTATCGGTTCTAAGAATGAGCACAAGTGATGTCACACATAATGGTGGTGGGATACAAAAACGAATAAAATGACGAGGCGATGGAATAGCTGGTCGTCATGTGAAGGCGATGGTCACCCTCCTGGAGGGGAGGGGTGAGCCCGATCGCTAACTCAAGAAGGTCGGCGTTGGGAGCCGACATACAATGATCATGATGTCGCTGAGCAGTCGGTCCTGATAAGGAGATGACAATAGTGTCCGATCAGGCTGATATGTCCGAGCAACGGCTCTCATCTACGCAGCGCGAGGATGAAACCGGTCTTCAAATATGGAAAGCACGCCGAGCCGGGAGGCCGGTCGTGATATAACGGTGTCGGCAATGAAAGGCCGACCTGAAATCAGGATGGCCTCACGGCCCTCGGCCGTGATGGTCTCCTCTAGGCCCTCGGCCTCTGAATGATGGATGATCGTCCCCGGGCTTTGGCCTCCGGGTGATGGATGTTCGTCCCCGGGCTTTGGCCTCTGGGTGATGGATGTTCGTCCCCGGGCTTTGGCCTCCGGGTGAAAGATGCTCGTCCCCGGGCCTAGGCCACTGGACGATAGATGATCGTCTTCGGGCCCTCGGCATCCGGGGTGAAAGATGCTCGTCCCCGGGCCTAGGCCACTGGACGATAGATGATCGTCTTCGGGCCCTCGGCATCCGGGGTGAAAGATGCTCATCCATGGCCCTTGGCTCTTGGGGTAGAGGATGCTCGTCCCCGGGCCTAGGCCACTGGACGATAGATGATCGTCTTCGGGCCCTCGGCATCCGGGGTGAAAGATGCTCGTCCACGGCCCTTGGCTCTTGATGGTCTTCTTTAGATCCTCGGCCTCCGGGTGGAAGATGCTCGTCCCCGGGCCTAGGCCACTGGACGATAGATGATCGTCTTTGGGCCCTCGGCATCCGGGGTGAAAGATGCTCGTCCACGACCCTTGGCTCTTGATGGTTCTCTTTAGACCCTCGGCCTCCGGGTGGAGGATGCTCGTCCCCAAGCCCTTGGCACCAAGGTTCATTTTGAGCATCATCTCTTATCTGACTATGATCTTAATCGTATGGGTACTTGGGTTTTGGAGATGGACGTTCGGCCAGTTGGGAATCTATATGAGCTTGATTTGGTTCCCTTTGGCAATTTTGACTTGGTCAAAATTTTCTAGCTATGAGTTTCCCAAGTTCCAAACTTTGATATAGACGTTCTGCCACAGTGCTAGCCTGCACAGGCTTCAAGATATACGCTCGGCCAGGGGATTGGAAGCCAGATCTGCTCCCCTTAGTCAATTTGACTTAGTCAACGTTAGCGATCACATGGCCCAGGCTTCCTTCAACCTTTCGCCTGCCTCACTAGCCGCATTGAGAGGGGATTACGCTCTTCTGCCACAGGCCTTGCTACCGAGCGTCGTCAAGAAAATGTGCAGCCGCCGGTGATGGACGAGCTGCGAAAGGTGAGGCGAGCATCAGCCGGCCCTAGCGGTCGTCCGAGCTGAGGCCGGTCTAGGATCCTTTCGACGATGAGAGCCTGGTGGCGTGTATGAGCCGCGCGGCCAGAGCTGAGCAGCTGGGTATTCTTGAGATGGGGAGGAGCAGCTGCCGGGGCAAATTACGCCGCCGGGCGGCGAGCAACATGGTGCCCAAGCTGACCACTGGTGTGTTGGAAACCCGACGGCAGCGGCCGTGCGGCGTTGCATGCCAAAGGTGGCCGTTCGGCGGAGGGTAGATACACTTGACGTACGTATGGGATTTGCCGGGTGGCGAGCTTCTGGTGGAGCACGGCGACGGTACAGACGGCTGCTCCGGCCAAGGTCTGCAAAATCCCAGATCTGAACCTCCTCCGTTGTTTTCTTCTCAGAATCTTTGTTCCTATTTTTTTTCTTCCTTTCCTTCTCACGTTAGATCCTTCCTGTTTTGTTTTTTTCTTTTTGCTAAAAGCCCAGATCTTCGTAACACCCTTTCTTCTTCCTCGTTGAAATCCAAACCTCCAGCATCAAATTTTTCTTCTTCCTAGATCCAGAGCTTCTCAGAATCATTTTTCGAGGATGTTTTTATTTATTTAATTTTTTCTTCCTTCCCTTAGCTTTTCACGTTAGATCTTCTTCTCCTGCTTGCTTTCCAGAATAGTTTTTCTTTCTTTTTTGTTCGAATCAGTCCACTTAGTATGAATTTTTTTGTAGAAACTCAAGAACAAGTAGAACACATGAATCTTTTTGGACAAATTCCCACAGACGGCGCCAGTGTTGAGTTTAATCCAACACGATATAGTAAATATATGTATGAACACTCAGTTTTTACGTGGAAACCCGAAAGGGAGAAAACCACGGGACTTTTTAGGCTAATGTCCAAGCCCTCTCTTTCTCATTAGGCTCTCCTCACCATTACATAGTACAATCTGAGCTCCGATTAATGGAGTCTTGCAAGCTATTTTAGAGAGAAGAAATGAGTTGGGGAAGAAGGGAAAAAGCCATCCAAAAAAGGATCCCTAAACATGTGGGAAAGCCCCATATTTATAGGGGAAAGGGAGTAGGGAATAAGTCTACCCTAATGGGCCAAGTAAGCCCAAAATGGGCCCAAGGGGCCGAAACATGCCTAATAGGCTGAAATGGACCTTGTCATTCGGGCTCCAAGCTGGGGAGATGCCTTGGGCTCCTGAACAGTAATAGGCCGGGATAATATATCCCAACATAAACTTAGAGACAATCACCTCACACAAAGCAACTTGACTTCATACATACTAAACGTACAATTTGAAGTCTAAAACGATCGTGACCAAAACATTCCCTATCAAAAGTACTCCATCAAAAATCCAAATATTCAAACCAAATCTAATCGAACTAAAATAAAAACAAACACCATATTATTAAAGAAAAATAATATTAGAGTAAAACTTTTTCATAACACTCTTTGTGGCATGGAAGCGATTCTACATGAGAACGAGCTGTTGCAATATGAGCTAAAAAGGAGTTGAAAATAGGCGTGGACCCGGTTCGGGCCGCCCGGCCCGGGACTGGCCCGGCCCGCCACTGTGCGGGCCCGGAACCGGCCCGGTTCTCGGGTCCGGGTCCGGTTCGGGCACAGACCCGGTCGGGTTAGCGGGACCGGGCTCGGGTCCTGGTTTTGGAGGCCCGGCCCGGCCGGGTCGGGCTCGGGCCCGGGCCTAACGGTCCAAATTTAATTTTTTTTTTTTTTTTTTTGCTTCTTTTGGCTCAACGGCCACCCCAAACGGCTATATAGCCGTTGGGTGGTACCAGGGGGGGTCAGGGGGCTTTGGGTGGGGGGTGGGGTGGGGGGGTGGGGGTGGGGAGTGGGAGTTAAAAAAAAACCTATAAATACTCCTAGTTTTAAACATTTTTCACACCTCTTCTCCAACTCTACCTAAATCCTACTCTCTACTCATCTCCAATTCTCCATATTCATCTTCTCAAATTCTCTTATTCTCCTTTATATTTTATTTTACTATTTAATACTTATACAATTATTATATCTACTTATATATTAATTATCTACTTATATATTATTATCTACATATACTATATTACTTATATTTCTTATCTACTTAATCTCTACTTATATCTCTTAATACATACATACATACTATATCTACTTAATATATACTTTATATAATAAAGTATTAAATATACTTTATAAACTATTACTATATACTTAATACATAATAATATCTACTTCTCTACTTATATTTTATATATACTTATTTTCCAATCTCCAATTCTCCATTATACTCTAATATTTAATTTTTATACAATTATTATATCCACTTAATACATACATTCTACATCCACTTAATATATATTTTATATATTAAAGTATAAAATATAAGTGTATTACTCATCTTATAGTAGTATACTTATATATTATATAATATAAACATTATATTATATATTACTTACTATAACTAGTATTATACTAGTTAATTAGTTAATTAGCATTCTTGTTAAATTTTTCATTATACTAGTTAATTAGTTAATTAGCATTCTTGTTACATTTTTCATTATACTAATTAAAATACTTCACATTTTATTTAACTAGTTGTTAGTTTGTTACATTTGTCACTATACTAGTTAACTACTTAATTAGCATTGTTGTTACATTTTTACTTGTACTAGTTATTTACTTCAAAAGTTGCTATAATTTTAATTGTAGAGACACACATTAATTCTACTTTGCACAAAATTAGTTTGAAGTATTAATTAAAATAGTTTTAATTAGTTGCATTAGTTTTGTATCCATTATTATATTTGTTGTGAATTAATATTTGTTACATTTTTTAGATGGAAGGTGGTAGATATTCGGTTGATTTGGGTAACCTCCAACGCAATCGAAGAAACGAGATTGGGAGGAAGAAATCCCGCAAAGGTAAAGAACTTGTCGGGTCTTCATCTCAAAGCCGAGATGATTTTGAAACGGGTTACCAAAGGCGAGATGGAGATGCGATGTCCGAAGAACAACTCCAACAAGAATTGGCCCGACATAATAACCGCTTTCTACAACAACAACAAATGCCGACGACCATTGACGAAGAGGAGCTTGAGGATGAAGATGCGGAGGAATTGGAACCGGAGACGGCCGAGGAGGAGGGTGCCGGCAGCCACGACGCCGACGCGCCTGCCTCATCCCAAACCGCCACCGGTAATAAAAAAAAGTAAGTCTGAACTAATGAAAAATAATTTTGATAAATGGAAGGACCCACAAACCGGCTATTGGCACGCAACTTGCAAGTGGTGCAACAACAATTATAGTTTGGGAACCTCCGGCGGATACGGATCCGCCGCAAGGCATCTTAAGGCAAAGCACCCCGTGGAGTATGCAAAATTAGGCGGCGGAACGGGGAAGCAAACTCAAATATCGAGGTTTGCGAATTCTCAACCTTTTGGTAATTTCTCCTACAATGATGCACAAAATTTGACTGGTATGGCTAACTTAATTTGTGAAGAAAATTTGCCTTATTGGTTTTCTGAAAGTCTTGCTTTAAGAGATTATGCACAAGGTAGTTTAAATCCTCAATTTAGAAATTATAGTCGCAAAACTGTTAAGAAAGAAATAATAAGACTTTATAATGCGGAAAAGGTAAGGTTACAAAATTTTTTTGCAAACTTTGATGGCCGTCTTACTATTTGTTCTGACATATGGGAGGATGATTTTCATCATTTATATTATTTGGGTCTGACTGCACATTATATTGATGAGGATTGGAATATGCATAAACATGTTCTTGCTTTTCGTGAATTTAATGATCGTCACACCGCTGAACATATTTATATTTTGATTGAGCGTATTTTAATTGAGTATAATTTGATTGATAAGGTGTTTGCTATTGGTTTCGATAATGCTACTAATAATACTGCTGCTATACCTAGATTGCGTGAGTTGTGTGGTGCCAATTCTTTGATGGGTAGATTTTTTCATCAACGCTGTGCATGTCATGTTATAAATTTATGTGTGCAAGACGGTTTAAAAGCGTTAGGAGATTCCATGGAGGTAATAAAGGGGGGGATTAGACGTATTTGGGGTAATGGTCAACTTAGATTAAAATGGCAAAGTTATTTGACTGAAAGAGGTGTGAGATATGTTGCTTTTCCTAAAGATTTGAGTATTCGTTGGAATAGTACTTATAAATTACTTAAAGTTGTTCTTAGATATAAAGAACATTTTCCTGCTTTTTTAAAAGAACATGATAACTATATTATAAACGCGGCTGAGATCGACACTTGCGAAAAAATTTGTAATGTTTTGATATATTTTTTTAATGCTACTGAAACTTTTAGTCATGTTTATAAACCTACCGCAAACCAATTTATTCCACAAGCTGTTAATCTCGCCGATACTTTTAAAGAATTTCAAAATGCCGTTTTCGTTCATTATTTTTGTGATCATATGAAGGAAAAGTTTTTAAAATATTATGCGCATATTCCCCATATTTATGGTATTGCATTTATTCTCAATCCTCGTTATAGACTTGCTAATTTGGAAGATTGTTTCAACTTCTATTATCTTGCGTTTTTCGGTGAATTTCCAATGTATGACGATAACCCCATAGATCCGAAAATGGAATACAACGAGGTTAGTACTTTATTTTATGCCTTATTTAATGAATTTCGTGCACAATATAGCAACACTCCCCCTCCCCCGTCACGAACATCTTCATCTAAAGGAAAATCGATTTTTAAATCTGCATTTGGCAATCTTATGAAAAAAACTAAAACAACTCACGTCACTGAACAAAGCGCATTGAATGAGATTACTTTGTATTTAACATATGAAGTTGATTTTGAAGAAAATGATGACTTTGACGTTCTAGACTGGTGGAAGTCAAAAGAAAGAACGTTCCCGATTTTAGCACGGATGGCTAAGCAAGTACTATCAATGCCGGTTTCAACAGTTGCTGTGGAACAAGAATTTAGTTCGGCCGGCAACGTCCTAACGGCATTTAGATCGAGATTGAGCGCGGAGTCTCTTGAGACGCTTATATGCTACCACGATTGGTTAAAGGGCGCACGTAGAACTCAAGAATTGAGCATCACCCCCTCCCAAGATTTTATGGATGACTCAACAACCGATGGTGGCTCTACCTATGCCGGAGATTCCGATTGATTAGTATTTTAGAATTTATTACAAAATGTATTATATAGCACTTGTCAAATTTATTTATACTTGTACTTCATATTTCAAAATTGTAAACTTGTACTTCATATTTCAAAATTGTAAATTTGTAGTTGTAGTTCAAATTAATTTGTAAACTTGTACTTCATATTTCAAATAAATATGTGTTCACTTTTTCATATGTAGCACTTCTCAAATTAATTAATTGGTTACAATCTAATGACTTAAAATTATTTTTCTAAAATATAAAGCCGGTTTTTAAATTAAAAATACATTTAGAATATGTAATTTGTTTAAATACTTATACACCTATTTTGTAACATTTGTAAATTATAAATCAAACCACTTTTCTAAGTACAAATAGTTTTAGTTTTACTTAATTCATTAAATTAATTAATTTATTTTACAATATGTGTATAACTTAAAAAAAAAATTAATTCAAACCTCCCAAACGGCTATATAGCCGTTGGGGCTATGGGTGGGGGGCAGGGGGGTCCCAGGGGTGGTGGTGTGGGGAGTGGGGTTCAAAAACATCTATAAATACATCTATTTTCTAACATTTTTTTACATCTCTTCTCCAATTCATCTCAAACTCTTCTCCATCTTCATCTTCTCTTATTATCCTACATTCCTACTTATACATATACCATTTTAAATATGGAAAGTACATCTTCCCTTATGCAAAACAATTTTGACAAGTGGAAGGACCCGAAGACCGGTCTGTGGTGGGCAACTTGCAGGTGGTGCAAGAAAGAGTGTTGCTTGGGGCGTTCATACGGATACAGGATGCCAATAAAACATATGAAGTCTTGTGACAAAGGGAAAACAACAACCAACGGTGGCGGAAATCCCAATTGATATTCATTACAAAATGTATTTCATATTGTTATTTTTTTCTCAATTCTCAAATGTAGTTCTTATTTCAAATAAATGCAATTGAACTTTGTTTTTAATAGCAATTTGTATAATATATAATTAATTAAAAAAAAAATTTAATGGCCCGGCCCGGCCCGGCGGGTGGCCCGACCCGTGTTCGGGCGGGTGGCCCGGCCCGAACCGGAACCGGTCATTGACCGGGCCGGTCCCGGGCCTACCATTATAGGACCCGAGGCCCGACCGGGCCTTGACCCGGCCCGGGCCCGACCCGGCCCGGGTCCAACACTAGTTGAAAACCAATTTTATATCAACAAAAATTCCTTTTGTACACGTTCTTATACACATTAGTATACCTCTGTGTCAGTGAGAGTTTTTTTTGTCTGTAAATACTAATCGACAGACAAAAACTGACTTGTTTTGTCTGTAGAATTTTCCACAGAAAAACAGGCTTGTTTTATCTGTGAACTGAGATTTACAGACAAAAATAACCTCTCACAAACACGGAGGTGTACTGATGTGTATACGAACGTGTACACCAAGAATTTTTCTTATATCAAAGTGAGACTACCGGGGCATGCTCGGGTGATACACTAGTACAAACAGTTCCGGGTGATACACTAGTACAAACATTATTGTTTTGTGACTTAACAATTTGAGATTATCTATGATCTAATTTGCTCTTAAAAATGTGTACACTCACAAATGTCATTATCTATGATCTAATTTGCTCTTAAAGCCCATCCTCAAACGAAAGCCGTTACACCCATCTTCTGTAGAACCGTCATCTCCTCTGCTGGGCTGCGACGTCGTCGCACATAACTCTTTCTGGATCCGCCACCCGCATTTTGTAGTTTCATCAGCTTTTCCGGACCAATCACCTCTCTGCTACTCTTACGCAAAATGTGAGCAGTGGACCTTAAAGTGCCTGATTGTAATTTTCTTTATTTGTTTCATTTTGCTTGATTTTACCCATTGGGATCTCTCTCCCGGATATGTGATATCGAGAAATGGGTTGTTCAGCCTTACCCCCTTACGTGGATCTGATTTAAAATGTAACGAGTTTGATTTACATTGGAGAATTCGAGAGTTGAATAAGATCTACTATGAATAATTTATAATAAAAAATGTAGCTTATTGATTATACTTTGCTGGGTTAAGAAATTGTGATGCTATTTGATTGATTTTCAAGTGGCATTTGTGTTGGATTGTTTCGAAGCATTTCTTGGAACTAATTTGGAGCTTTTTGGTTTCTCGTAAACGTTCAATTTGTTTTGTTTTAGAACTTTCCAAGTTTTGATTTTTGCCATCTAAAATGGAAGAAGAGGTGAAGAAGAAGAAGAAATCTAAGAAGAAGAAGAAGAAGAATAAGCAGAATAAGACCACGGATGTTGTGTCTGATGGCGCTACAGAGCCGGATCATGATCAGAACCACATGGGTGAATCACTGGAGAGTACTATTGCCAAGGTGCTGGATAATGAGGAAGCCAAAATAGATACGGATCAAAATAGTGATCTCTCTAATAAACCTGTAGGTGCAATATTCAACATCATGGAATCATTTCCAGTTTTTTACTTTGAGTATAAGAGTTAAAGATACCTTGCATTGGCGTCTGTTTGTTGATTTCTTAAAAATCCTATCGCTACAGCCAACTTTACCTGAAGGTGATAAACAGTACTGGCTGGACAGAGAGGTGAATAAGCCGTGTCTTCGCTGTGTTTTCAGTAGTTCCTTCTTAGACAAGATAGTAATGTGAAATCATATGTAAAATTTTGTTGCAGGCTATTTATGAAGAGAAAATTAAACAACTGGAGAAAGAGAAGGAAGTACATGTGGAAAATGAGGTAAAATGTTGATTTTGATATTACACGTGGAAAATTTCACTGGTGTTTACACAAATACGTGCCCAGTGCTCTACTCTACTCGATTTCATTAGTGACTATTGTGCTTTCCCAGACTAATATAGAAGAAAATAGTTTGGTGAAAGAGTTGAAGCCATACATAAAGATGTGACATGAATGCTAAATATGTAGTGTGAAGATATCCTTTCTAACAATATATCATTTCTTTCTTTAAAATAACGTAGCAACTCTTCATTTTGCAGTGTAAAGTTGAAGAGAGATTTAGACGACAAGAAAATGAAAATATCATTCGCACACAAAACATGGTAATGTCAATATAGTTGGTTCATAATTTTGCATGTTAAGAAAATGTTATTTATTAAACTTCGGAATGCACAGTCTAGCCTGGAGGAGAAAACATTGCTATTGGAGACGGAAAAGGATGTTCTGTTGCAGCAAGTGGTAATATAAAAACCCTTTTCTATAAATGCTTGTGTGCTTGTTTTTCGTTCTTTATTGGCACATTTACTCTTAGAGTTAGAGTCCTAATGATAGTTTTGACATTGCAGTTTCTTGAGTAGGCTAGACTAGAAACAGAATAAGACACAGATGCAGGCTAAAGAAAAGGTTGCATGCTGAAAGAGGGACTAAAATGGATTATGTATATTTACATGCATGCATACACACACTTTTCAATTTGTCTTCCTTCGTAGGGGTATTGCTGCTCCAATAAGATTTTTTGGGGGGTTGTTTTCAGGCTGTTCTTCAGGTTCAAATTTCACAATTACAGAATGAAAAGGATTCCTGGCTCCAAAAGGAGGTGATGTTTATTTCATTACAGTGAGTGAAGTATTAATGTGTTTCAGAGTGTTATCTCATTCCTTGTTTTTCCACCATTATTTGGTACTCATTTTGTGAACTTTTATTCTTTATTCACCTAGGCTCCCCCCTTTTAGCTAGCCAACTATGTGTAGAACCAACCTTTTATGCAATCAAAGTTCCTTGTTCTCTTAAGAGTTGAAAAGCAATAGACTGGTTCTATTATAAAATACAGTTCTAGTTTTAGTTTTATTGAAGTTTATTTTTCTTCTTAGATATAGGGTTTAGGACATAGGTTTCCTATATCTGATTTCCTATCCGGTGAAGGCATATGATAATAACATTTTACAAGCATTATAGCAGGTATGTGATAATCTTTTTTACTAGCATTATTTAAAAGTGAGCAAGTTTTTAATTAAAAGACACATCAATAAAAGTAGTATTTTATTATTCTGCATGGTATTCGAGTTAAACCCTATAATAATCACAAAACCCACATGAAAAACCCTGGCACCTTTTTCTGTTGTGAACACTAAACTGCACCGTTCTCAAGCTCAGTTCATAGCATCTCCAACCATTCTTTTTCACAAAACCAACCAGAATCGCTTTTCGGCCCAACGGTTGAAACCCGGTTGCTTTCATATTGGGTTTATTTCTCATTATACCTAGGTCTGTCCAGGTCCAGGAGTATATGTATGTGAGGCCTTGGGTGGTAGAAAGAACCAACACGTAATGGTGTCAGCAGTGAATTAGTAAGCTGTCGCAAAGTGCTCACTGCCAAACCAAAACCACCGTTTTTCCTTTTTTTTGTTATGGCATTTGGTCCTCGTTGTGTTCGTGCCACCATTGACTTTAGAAGAGGTGTGTCTCACCCACTTTTCCCCGATGAGCACAACTGCCGTGTGCTACCTTATATACTGCCATGCTCCACTGTCACTGATGCCGCATCGATGATTGAGGCTGTCTCGCGTGACACTTTTCAGTGAAAGTTTGCACTTTGTGTCATCAGCCCTCTGTGATCTTCCAGCATGATATTCACAATTTTCTAACGACCATATCATATGTCTTGAGGATGAAGTTGTTGATTGTGTGGAGAAGGAATGCTAGTGCATTTCAAACCTCAAGTGCTTGTGTTTAAGTGTTCAAGTTGAAGTGTTTATGTTCTTGTGTTGATGTGTTCATGATCAAATTTGAGGTGTTTGTTACTTCGTGTTCATATGTTTGCGTTTATTTGTCTGTGTTGAGAATAGAAATGTAAACTTCATGTATTTAAGTGTATTATGCAGTCAAAGAATGGACAGAACGTGTAAGTGTGGTAAAAATGTTTAGCATGTTTTTGTGTGTTGCAAGCTTGGAGCACGTGAAGGTGCTTCATCTACAGGGGGAAAGGGGTGTTGAATTTTACTAAACAGTTTACCTCTTCAAATTATTGTGTTAGTCAAGAGTCTTTACATATGAATCTTCACCAAGTAGTCTAAGGCCTTGTTTGGTTCAAAGGAGGGGAGGGAAGGGGAGAGTCAAGGAGGGAAGGAAAGGGAAAGGGAAGGAAAGATTTTGATAAAAAATTGTGTTTGGTAGGAGGAAATAGGAGGAAAGGTTTAATGAAAGTACTTCCCTAATTTACCTTTACTTGATAGTTTACTTAAAAAATAGATATATCTCTAACTATTGTGATTGTTACTCCTAAGGTCATAAGTCATAATATTTTTTTTTTGAATTTTTGATTTTTTAATTTTTTATTTTTTTATTTTTTTTATTATTAAGTTTAATTTTTGAATTTTTGAATTTTCAAATTTTGAATTTTCCATTTTTGATTTTTTTAATGTTTTAATTTGTTACTTTTTTTAATTTTAAATTTTTTAATTTTTTATTTTATTTTTATTTTTTTATTTTTTTTTTACCTTTTTTATATTATAATGTTTTGTCCATTCACGTAGGAGATGACTAGTTTGTGGTTATCAACACATTTCCTCCGAAATACCCCGATTTGGGGGGTTGAGAATGGGAGGAAGGGGAGGATTTTGGAAGCCTTCGACTTTCCTCCCCTTCCCCCCTGTTTTCTTCAACCAAACACACACAAATCCCTCACTTCCCTCCCCTCCGAAACCCTCCAACCAAACAGGGCCTAAGGGTCTCTTAAGTGAAGAGTCTTTATCTACCTATGGGTGTGTGTTTACTATGTATCTATGAAGGAAATGAGTCAAGGCAATATCAATCCACCATATCACTAGAATCAGAAGGGGTTTATAAAGAAAATGGAATTTCGCCACTGCCTATTGCTGCTTAATCAAGAATATATTCAACTATTCCAGTTTTTGCTCAGTTATGTGACACACACCCTTTCCCATGACTATTCTCAGCTAGATCAGAGACTCTAAACTATTATTCAAGTTAATCAACAAGAAAAGATTTAACCAAATCTGAAATATGCTCTATCATTTTCAATTGAGGAGATGATACAGAGTATATCTTTAGTGACGAGCAAGTGTTGGCAATTTGGAATATATCAAAACAGATGTAGGGGACAGTCCGGCAGACAACTAGAATCATCCACAATCTGTACACCTCTTCCATTGGTGGGTCCTTACATCAGTTACATGTCACTTAGATGGGACCCAAATACAGATTGGGAAGAGTTCAAAGCATACAGTAATTGCTTGGGTATGTCTTTTGAGTCTGAGCAATGGCAACATAGTTGGGTAAATAGGTTTTGAGTGGAGCTAAGAAAGAGAATGCAAATGGGTCATGAGAAAAGAAAAGTAAAGAGAACTGAGAGGAGTATTGGAATCGAATGTGTTCTGTATTTTCATAAGAACTTTTGATGGGTTATTTTGTTAATGAATGAGGTGCTCTTCTTCTAATTGTCTCTGTTTGAGTTGCATGGTTATCTTGCAGCTCTCTTTTAGTTTTTAGTTTTTTTTAGTGTATGTAGGCTTTACCCTACATAAAAATAAAAAAATAAAAATAAAAGTATGTAGGCTTTACCCCCATTGTGTGTTTAATGTTTTCTAAAATTTTTTTCCATAAAATAATAAAATAGAAAATATACGGTTTCCTATCTTAATGCATCTTGTAATATATAAACCCCCTTGCAGGCTGGTTATGAGGAAAAAATTAGTCTGTTGGTTGATGAAGCAGCATTCCTGAATATGGAAAGGGTAATGGATTGAGAATAAATATGCTTAGTTTGCTACTTAGTTTGTTTTATAAATACATTACCCAGGTTCTATTCACATTTATGAAGCCCTTGTTCACTAAGGATTTAAAATTGGACAAAATGGCCCTCTCTGTTAAAACTCAATTTTTTATTTCAGTAGAAGAGAGATTCAGGATTGACCAACTCTTTCCTCATTCGGGGCGGTGGAAGTGGTCCACCGCTCCAATCACACTAAATGGAGCATGTGGTAACTCTTTCTTTGTAGCGGTTGGCCGGTTGCACTGCTCCCATCTCTCCAAACACCGAATTTCCAACTTGATGATTTTTGGACCAATGAGAGCTTTACTATTAGAGTGGTCAACCTTCCCCAATTTCACCGCCGCCACTACAACTGCAGACAACTCTCACTGCTCTATCAAATGGACCCTTTGAATGTTACTGATCCATTGCCATCGTTTTTCACTCCATTTGTAGTTCCTCAAGTATTAGAAATTGAACACAAATCACTCTTCAACTAGGGTATCTGCAGTGGGATCTTTTGTGGCCACTTTTAACACTTGGGCCTTTTCTTCTAAATTGATATAGCTGAATAGAAAGTTAGCCACTGTAGGTAGTCTGGGTACAACAAAGTTGAATTGATTATTCATTTCAATCACGTTTTAATGCTTCCAATCAATGGTAATATACAATTTTCTCAATAAGCTGACCCGAGGGTGAAATCAGGTGAGATTGGAAGAAACAATAAAACAGCTGGAGGAGAAAAGACTTGCGCTGATTGAAAAGGAGGTACCATAATACTATTTCTTCCTGATACTTCTTTCTTCCTCTTCTATTAGTTTACCAGCATGGTTCTTTTGATATTTGTGTTTCTGAAGTGTGGTGAAATGGAGTTTTTTTTATCTTGTCATACAGAACATGATGGGAGAAAAAGTTTCAAGCCTGAATGCTGATAATGCACTCTTACAAGCACAGGTATTCTATCTCAATGAACTTAGTGCAGAATGATTTACTGAATTTAGGGGAAGACATTATGCACCCAAGGCTGGATACAGACATAATAAACTTGTGATTAATCTAATAGGTAAACATGTTAGTAAGTTAGTAACTTTTGAGAGTCAAGGTTTTGAGGCTCAAGTTCTCTGGAAAATAGTAGTAAGAGTTAAAGGCATTGCTACTTATGCTACATGTGAGAAGAGGAGAAAAAAAAGCTTAAAAGTTGCTATTTTTGTTATTTTTATATTTTTGCCTTGAACTCTTATGGATTTAGGCTGGCTTTTGGCCTATTGACTTGGGCTTGGACCTTTTTACTTTAACTTTTGCTGGACTTATTTAATGGTTTAACATTTTTTTAATCGAGATTTTCTGTCATCCTGTCCATGGGCATTTGTAAGAGTAGTTCCTTTATTTCTGTGAAATTCATCATATCATGTATCTGGACCAGAATTCCCATTTAGTAGACTAGATTCGTACATCATAATTTTATTTGTTTTAAGATGTCGATCTAGCCAGAGGTAGCAAGTTTTGTTTGCTAGTACTTCACTACATAACAAAAAGATTCATTTTTGTTTGTTTTCTTTAATGCAACTAAGGCTAAAACGCAGTAGTTTTATTTAAATGGAGGTGAACGAGCTTGAAGAATTGCGGAGAAGCAGTGTACTAGAAAATCAGGTGCTGAAAGAAACTGCAACTACTCTGCAGTCACAAGTACATGACCTTGAGAAAAGCGCTACGTTTTCTTATCCATCAACTGCGAAGAATCTGGTTAGTTGCTTATGTTGTATATTTTGGACCCATGTCCCACACCCACTCTTTCACCCTGACCATCCACCTAAGATATTGCTTGATTCTTTTCATTACATTCTTAATTTGAGTTGCGCTAGCATGCCATAACTTTGTGCCTTAGGGGTCTGTTTGTGATGAGTAGTTTGAACTTAAGAGGAAAAGGCTTTAAACGGATTCTATATCTTAAGAAGTAGAATATTTCATAATCTGAATAAAAAGGTGATTAAAGTGTTATACGGTCACAATAAGTCACATATTATCTTAAACATTCATTTATTCTATAATCATTTGGATCGATTCTTGTTAGCTGACCCAAAATCTTTTGGGAATAAGCCTTGGATGTTCTTGTTGTTTATTCATTTATTCTAAAATTTCAAAATATCAAGTAGACTAAGCCCTCAAAACCCTCCTCCTCCAAACCCCTATATCCAACAAACTCTAATCTTTACTGTTTACAACTGATTCAACATGTAGGATACCTCTGGAAATGCAGATGCTGATTCTGAGAAAGGTTCTGGCAATGCAATGGTTGGAAATCTTGTTCCTGAGAATATGGAGCATGGTGACAAGGTAAGCCATTACCATGCTATTGTGAAAGAAACTGCTCTATTGCATTCTTTAGGAGTATGTTGTGATCCTGGAAAATGGTAGTATAAGGGAAAAGATTGTTGATGAAGGTAATTTTCTTGTGTTTGGTTTTTAGCTTGAAAAATGCAAAGACAAATCGAAGATATTTTTTCTTCTAATAATGCATAAATTATACGTAGTATTTCTTAGTCCATATGGCATCATCATCATCATCATCATCATCATTATCCCAGTGCCCCAAAGTCTTATGTCATATCTTTCCTGATGCAACCTTCTAATGGGGTAATTAGATGAAGTTCCAAACTGTCGTCATCATTGCATGGGAAATATTATGACGTTACGGCAAGTTGAGACAGTAGACGTTAGAGTAACGTACTCACGTCACAACCGCAGCTCTGTTTGGGTCAATGAAATTATCAATTACTACGTATCTTTCTAATATTAGTAACACTATAAATTCATGCAACAAGGGACAGTTGATTAGTAAAAAAAGTCTTACGTCACATGCTTCCTGATGCAACCTTCTAATGGGGTAAATAGATGAAGCTCCAAAACCGTTGTCATCATTGCATGGGAAATATTATGACATTACGGTAAGTTGAGACAGATAGATGTTATAGTAATGTACTCACGTCACAATATAAGATTGCTATTTTAAAGTCACAACATGAAATCCATGAAACATGGGCAAGGAATTTAGTCTAGATTAATACAAGTAGAATATTGATCTTTTATTGTTATTTTTTCCAGGTAAATGAATTATGTGTTGAACTTCAGCAGAGGGATTCAACAATGCAAGACTCTTCATCTTCTAGCTCCGTCCCAATAACCGGAAACTCTGAATCTGCTTATAAAAATACCAATAGCTCAGCTCGTGAGTCAGAGCCAAAGTCTGAAACAGCCGAGGTCAATGAAATCACTAGCACTGAAGTTACTCCAGTGACTATACCCACAGAAGATAATGCTATGGGATTAGACTCTTCTGAGATCGAGTCGAGTGAAATAGTTCAAATTCCTTTAGATGAGGATGTTTCAACAACTGAATTGGAAATAATTTCTGCTGATCAGAAAATTGAGGTTCCTCTTTCGGATGCACCTTTGATTGGTGCTCCTTTCCGTTTATTCTCGTTTGTGGCTAGATATGTTAGTGGAGCTGATTTGGTCGATAAAAATTCGGCTTAGGTAAGTTTGTTGCCCGGCTAGCCATAGTTAAAACTCTACAAAAAGCAGCATTCATTCTAGCTTGTAACAATAGTGAATTATTTATTTAGCAACACAATAGAAAGAAAAGCCAAAGCAAACATAGCCTAATTTCAAGTCGTCTTTGATTCACAAAGCGGAAATTGCATTCCATTTTTGCTACCTGTATCACCTGTATGAGATGCAGTCATTCAGAGTTATTTTAAAGGCACTCACTTTTTTTTATATCTCTGTTGATGTATTTTTGAATGATTGAACGTAAAAAGAGCCACAATTTTCCATTCTTTCAATAAAATGAGGTCCTATTGTGGGAGTATTGCTAGCAAGTCATGTTTGAATATTACTTGATTGAGTACGTGAAAATTGTATAAGGTGAATAGTATCGCTCTTCAAAGTTAGCTAAAGTTAATGACTTACAGATAAAGATATTGAAAGTTTGAAATGTTTTTCTTTTAACAATTTGGTCATATTTCCATCATTTTCAATGTAGCCAAAGACTCAATATTTTTTGGCTCAAGAATATGATGAAATAAAGTAAAGTGGTTCACTAAATTGTCTGCGCTTCTTTCTTATGGAGCAGCAGTCAGTTCATGCAATTTTCGACGCAATTTTCACTATGGGTCATCCGGAAACAGTTTCTGTGCTTTAGTATAGGGGTAAGACTACGTACATCCGATCCTCCTTAGATCACCGTAGGTGGGAGCCTTTGCGGCACTGGGGTAATGATAATGATGATGATGAAGATGAACAATTTGGTCATAAATAATTAGTCATGGACTCGGGTCGGGCCGCCTGGCCCGGAACCGGTACTGTTTGGGCCCGGCCTGGACCGGTACCCGGTTATAGGACCGGTCCGGGCCACCCGAGCCCGGAATTAATCGGGCCGGGCTCGGGCCTTCTAAAAGTGGAACCGGCCCGGTTTGGGCCCGGAACCCGCCTATTTTTTTTTTTTGGTTTTTTCAATTTTTTTTGGTTTCTCCCGGGTTGGTCTGGGTGTTTGGGGGGGGGGGTTGGGGGGGTGGGGGTGAGGGGGGTGAGAGGGTTAATTAGAAAGCAAAAGAAATTTAAAAAAAATAACATGAACCGGCCCGACCCGGAATCGGTGTCTACCCGGGCCGGTTCCGGTTCTTCCTTCCCAAAAAAAAGCCTGGCCGGGCCCGGCCCGGCCCGGGTCCATGACTGTAAATAATGGATGTGACCCCAAGATGCACACTTACACGCATCAGTGGGTATCAGCATCTCACATTTGTCATATACATATAAGAAGTGGATTGGAAACTCATACATTTATCATATACAAGGATTCATCTAGGGGTGGATCGAAACTGGAACTAGAATGGTCCAGTTCAAAAAATCTTGCACTGGGAGACCAACCCTTACATGCACGATATGATCACGGTCTCGACCCGGAATCACTCGATCAGTTTTGGCTCTAGCTAAAAACCGCTCGACTTCGGTCCGGTCTCTTCCAATAAAACATTTGCATGTATAGTATGTGCACCATAGCTTCATGATTGATCCTTCCATTTTATCTAGAATGGTACGTGGAGTCACCATGCTGTATGTGAAGGCTATTTTTGGTCTGTGAATAGCTCGCTTATAAGATAAAATATTTTGTATAGAATGGGCATGTATGATAATGGTGGGTACAAACAGTTTATTTTATGATAGATTAATGAAAATCTGCACTCAACAATATCAATAGCACAGTTCCAGATATAAGAGAGAGAAATAGAAATTTATTCTCCAACTGAACAGATCACAGGAGATTCAATGATCAGGGGCTAATTCGAGAGGCCCAGTCCTTACTTCCCGAGTTACAGCCTACCTCCCAACAGCTTATTAGAGCATCTCCAATGGGGTAGTGGATTGGAGTAAAGTCTATCTTACGTGGCATAGGAGAGAGATAGAGATAGGATGATTATTTTAATTTAATATGGAGAAAGTGGTGTGTATGGAAAAATGAAAAGGAATAGAGAGATAGGAGTAAATTGTAGACAATGTCCACAAATAGACATTACACAGGAATCGAGGAGCAAGAGTGGATGAAAAGTGGGTTAGAAGTGATATAAAAAAATGAAAATGAAAATAAATAAGGAGATATGTAGGTCCTACACATATAATTTGTGAGATAAAAAATGGGACCCAATTGTAAGAGTGTGTAAGAGAATAGACATCCCCATTGGAACCTATCCACGCAGGGATAAAAGACCTGGCCCACTAGTTAGCTAATTACTAACTACCCCACCCTTTTTCCTTTTATTATAATTTATTTATACACCTTATCAAAGTACTTAATAGATTGCTGAGCTGGATGTCTATCCTTCTATTTACTATGGGACAATTTATTCACTTGGCAACGAGTTGGCCCGGTATGGCGGTATGTACGAGAACCAGATTCTTTAGAGTCTGGCACACCATTACACTATGAAAACGAGTGACCAAACCGTTAGATGGTAAAGGTAAAATTCAAAGTTTGCAAATAACCTATGAAAACTAGATGCTTGCTAAAACACCATGCAGGAACCGCGATCCGTAGATATGACCCGAGGATAGGAATTGTACTAGGATACTGTGTAAAATGTTTGGATCCATGTAAAACTCGGATGTGGGTGGTGAAAGAAAATAGGGTGAATACAAAAAATAAAACGTGGATGCAATATTTTAGGAAGGAGTCCTGTTCAGGGACGGAGCCAGAAAAATGACTCAGCGGGGTCGAAATCAAATTTACATAGAATCAAAACGGTAGATTATTTTTAGACAATACTCGAATCGAATGTAGTTTAGATAAATGATAGTTTAAATGAAACGAGTATATGTAGTTATTAATATACTTCGTATATGTCACATATATTATAAACTTGTTTTATACGGGTTGAGTTGAGTACCTCGGATGAGACCCATTGTCTTACCCTAGTACTCTATGGTTCTCTTCGATCTTACTCGGTTTAGTATCAAGATTTCTTATTAGAAAAGAATCATTTATTGAGTAGGCACTCGTAGCAGTAAGATATGTTGTCTTTGCTCTATCCCTAAATCATGTCACGTAAGTAACGAGTGAATTACACGCTATTTTGTGAATATAATTAATATTACGCATCACAATTTTTACTAATTTCAAACTTAAATAGTGCTGATTTTGCAGAAGTCATAACTTTTTACTCGTAAGGAGTTACGAGAGCCATAATATATCAAATCAAAAATATTTCAGAGCTCTACACTCTTAAATTTTCAGCGGCGTCGGCTGACCACCCTGACCCCCCAGTAGCTCCGCCCCTGGTCCCGTTCCTATATACATATGGATGTATAGGAACCTCCGTACGGACATAGCCTTCTCGGTGGAATTTTTTGATGAAATTTTTGGAGCATGTTTTTCATCAAGTCTGGTTTCTGCATACCAAATTTCAGCTCTAAACTCTATTTGGAAGGCAGCTTAATAAATTATTGAAAAAAAAACTGCACTTTTATATGTATACTTTGGCACAGTTTTTTTCATTAAACAAGTTGCCGCAAAAAAAATTAATCGCTCATTTGTCCAAGATCATTTCGTTTTGAATTCTATTATACGGAGAATAAAGTTTCAGTAAACTACTTTAAATAAAAGACTGTTTTTATCAAATTTGTTTTCTATTTGTATTTTTAATGGTAAATCCAAACACACACAGAAGCCATTTTCCACACGAAAAGCCATAGTTTTTTAAAGAAAAGTTACTATTGCTCCATTGGGGTTAGGTCATATTATGTACAAGTTCAATATTATATTTTTAAGAGTTGATTATTTTTTGTTTGAGATATTAAGGAAGTGTGAAGTTTATTTTAGACCGTCCCAAAAGGAAAGTGTGAAGTTTAATAAAAACCGGAGGGAGTATATTTGATAAGTATATAATATAATGAAGTCATTGATGATAATTGTGACGTTATAAATATATTATTTGTAATATTTGATGATTCAATCATCATAGTTGATTGTTAATTGTTTCCTAAAATAAAAATGAAGACTTTTATATGAGACATCCAAAAAATGAAAGTATGAAAATTAGAATGAGAGTATGAGATAGAGCGACTAATTGTTAGGCTACAACGTTTACCTTTGTTCTCTTTTCTTTTCTTTCTTTTCTGTTTTTTTTTGTGTGTGTGGAGCATTCAATTGCTTGATGAGCCCTTGTTTCAATAAATGATATTTTTTTTACTTTTAGACTATTAGTATATTAAATTGTTAAAGTAAATTATTATTTTTTATTGTCAAAACGGATGGCTTAAATTGCTATTATAGCATTCAGATAGGGGATAAAATGACAAAAGAACCACAAAAAATAAAAAGCAAGCAAACAGTAAAATTAAAAACTGCTTCTAAACCCTAAATTCTCTAGCACTCTATGGCGGCAGTTCAGGAGGGGGGCGGTCCAACAGTATTCTAGCTTCTTCCGCTCCTTGCCTCCAGTCCAGATCTGTTCCAGCACCTAACCCCACGCTTCGTCCATGACCTTCTGATCTCAACCATGAACGACATCTTTAAAAATTGTTAAACTAAATTTAAAAATTCAAAAAAAATCCATTTTATTAAAAAAACACCTCACTCTTTATGTAAGTTTACCTAATTTTTGGATGGTAGTATGATACCTAGCACTCTTGCCATATCACAAAACTTTGTCAAATTTTCTTTTTTTATATACCTCAAAAATTTGTCATTTGCATTAAAAGTAATAAATATATGGCTAAAGTTATTTATCTCTCCTCTGCACAAACCTCAACCACAATATTTTTACTTTATTATTCTACGTGCAAATCAACTTTGATCAAATTTTATGCGACGAAGTATATCTTTTGTAACCTATTGCCTTATAAGTTATAAAAAAACACTTAGATCGAGCCTGTTTGATAACTCTGTTTCAACTTATGGGAAACTTTGTTACCCAACACGTATTTTTTTATTTTGCGCGTTGGATGATGTAATAATTAAAATGGGTAAGGTTGAAGTTATTTCCTCACTAGATTGGGTGAATTTGCTTAACATTTACATTTCAGTCCACTCAACCATTTCAACCATGATTACATCAATTAGGTTAGTAAGACAGGTGAAGTAAACACGCAAGCGGCTTAAAAAGCTGCTTACTAACCGAAAGAGGTGCTTAAAGTGCCGCTTACTAAGCATACCACCCCCACCCCCATGAATAAGTTAAGCAGCAATTTAATCTTTTCCAGTTTCCGAATTTACCCTTACCGATACCCCTTGCCCTTAACCCCATACCCCCTTACCCCACCCCACCCTTACCCCCTTACCCTACCCCGACCCTACCCCTTTCCCCTACCACCTTCCCCTACCTCGACCCGACCCCACTACCCTACCCCCGACCATACCCCCACTCCATTCCCTACCCCCTACCATAGCCCATTACCCCACCCCCACAGGCGGTAAGGGCTAGGGGTAGGGTAGGGGTGAAGGTGGGGTAGGAGGGGTATGAGTGGTAAGGAAGGGGATGGGGTATAAGGGGTGGGGGTAGGGGTAGGGGTACGGGATAGGGGGTAAGCGTACGAGGTGACCCCCACATATTATATTACTTCCTCCGTCCTGAAAATAACCTCCCGGTTTGACTTTCACACACTTTTAGAAAATAAATTTGACTTTACTGTAGAGTGCACTATTTTTCACTGTTTAAACACTGTTTGGCACTGTTTAAACACTGTTTAAACACTGTTTGACACTGTTTATAACTTTTTTTATGTAGATAATTTGCCAAATAAGGAAAATATTGAAGTGTGAAGTTAATTTTGGGGCATCCATTTAAAGAAAGTGAGAAGTTGTTTTTGGGACGGAGGGAGTATATTATACTACCTCCGTCCCATATTAAACTTCCAATTGCGGGTTACGAAGTTTGACCAGCGATAAAGTTAAATGATTCCTGTGAAAACTCGGATTATTTTTAGAAAATAAAATTTACATATTCAGAAACTACATCAAACCCGCTACAAAGCCTGCAAAAAAAAAATCAACTTTTCATAAAATTTTGATATATAAAGTAAGAGTTTAAGTGTGATTTAAGTTGACTCTCGAAAAGCGAAATGGAAGTTTATTTAGGGACGGAGGGAGTATTATATTATATTATATTATATTATATTATATTATATTATATTATATTATATTATATTATATTATATTATATTATATTATATTATATTATATTATATTATATTATATTATATTATATTATATTATATTATATTATATTATATTATATTATATTATATTATATTATATTATATTATATTATATTATATTATATTATATTATATTATATTATATTATATTATATTATATTATATTATATTATATTATATTATATTATATTATATTATATTATATTATATTATATTATATTATATTATATTATATTATATTATATTATATTATATTATATTATATTATATTATTGTGTTCATGAATGTTTGTGTGTCTATATATGTATAGGGTTATTTTGGACATTTAAATGTTAAACGGTGTTTGAAATCCTTTGAAGTAAACATGAGCTTACAACACTGTTTATTTTATGCGCCGCTTATTAACACGAGTCTTAATAAGCATCATTTAGTAACCCGTGAAGTAAACGTGTTCTAACAGATTTAGTTAGTTCAATCAATTTTTGTGTTAGCAAATAGGCTCTCAAGGTACATGTGATTGAAATGTCAAAAAAATAAATTCTATCATTTCTTAAAAACTAACTTTAAATTTTTATCAACTATGGAATATATTGATAATTTATGATAATTT